ACACACACACACACACACTCCGCCTCTAAACGGCTGTTAATTCCACATCATTACTGACGCTTGTTTTTGCCAGCAGTACAGATCGCAGGTCAGATGGTCATTAACATTCAACAGGACATATCACACATATGGCAGCTTATCTCTCACATACCCACAAACACGATCACACCTACACTACACCTTACTACCACAACTACTACGCCACAGCAAAAAACAGGAGGGCTGTGAATTTATTGCAGCAGGTATACCTGCTAACGTATGGCCTCAGCCTAACATGTTCACTGCTGCATCTTGGTTCCTGTGTTTGTTGTGTGTGTGTGTGTGTGCGCGCGTGTGTGTCACAGTGCAGGCTGTGGGAGGACAGGAGTCATCTGTGCTCTCGACTACATCCATAACCTGCTGGTTACCAAGGTAACGCACGCTAACACAACACGCCACCACCGTTAGCTGTGAACGCTGCAGTACTCAGAGTTCATCCTCCAATAAAAGAGCAGATAAATGAAACCTCACAGCTGCACCATGTGATGGGCCCTAGCCGTCAGAGTGTGCCGTGGACACCTTCCACGCCAGTTCATCACGTGTAGACCACGGCATAAAGATTTCACGTAACTCAGACGACAGTTACCACACAAGGCTTACTTCCTGTTTCCAGTAGGGGGCGCTATGATGAATATCTGATCAGACGTGTGACGTTTGCACAAAGTACACTGAAGTTATGACAACTTCCTGTTTCATGACAAAATATCAAACTTTGGCGCCACCCCGTGGACACGCCCTTCGAAGTGACGGAACAGTGGTGGTCTTTAGGCTGCACTGAACAAATGTGAAGGAAACATGCTTCATGATCGTGTTCGACTGTGAGATCTTCATGTATTTTTATATCTCATTCACATCCTCGTGTTTGTTCCTCGTGCAGCAGATCACATTGGACTTCAGCATCATGAAGATCGTCCTGGAGCTCCGCAGACAGAGACCCTCTGCAGTCCAGACTAAAGTACGTCACAGCACGAAGCTCTAACTGTCAATGTTGTCAATCAGAAGGACCAAATACTTTCTACATTAGTGCCAACATGACCTTTGGAATTTAAACGTTTGAACCGTTTTTTTCTGGAGATTGTTTTGTAAATTAATATTTTTATAACTTCTGAATATAACTTCATTAAACAGTTGTTAACTGTGAAACCTCCAACCAGCGCCGGACCCACCGCGCCGCCAAGACACAGCCAGCAGGACAACCCCAGCTTAGCTTCATTCAGTCATTTATTGTTAGCCAGTGTTGCCCACTGTTGGCACTGTAGGGAAAGAGAAGGCACTCGGGAGCATAAAAGGTCCAAACCTTTGACCCCTCAAATCCCTACATAGAAACCACATAGAAATCAGTCCCACAGGCAAGCGAGAAGGAACAAAAGATACCACTAACAACCTGTTCTGACTCATTTAAGTGATCATTTACTTGTATTGGAACATTTCAGTGGGAGGGTTGTGATAATATCCGGTGACATCGTTGTGTTATCTGCAGGATCAGTACCAATTCATCTTCACGGCCGTCGCCTGTATGTTCGAGCGGTTCCTGCAGACGACCCACAGTCGGCTCTACCTGCCCGAGGTAAAAACACACTTTTGATTTCCCCGTGTTGATTAAATCAGTATGTTGGAGTCAGTGAAGTAAGCAGTTTGAGCTCAGAAAGAGGAAGTGGTCCACAACGCTGACTTCCTGTATGTAAATTCATTGCTGCAGTCTGAGAGTAGAAAGAGACACAGAGACAGAGAGAAGTGTTCAACATTTAACAGGAGTTCATCTACTGCGACTAAACAGGACGATACAGGTAGGTTCACTTTAAATTATAACCATAGAAACATGTAAATGAGATTATAAACATACATAATATATATCAGCACACAGCTGTTCTCTCTGTAGAGATACAGTAGTTCCACCCAGACAGTTTCAGTGAGTTTGATTCTGTTTCTGTCCACTTTAATGAAGTTACGATGAGGGGGAGGTACAAATGTGATTTTGCGACCTGTCTGGTGCAGAGCGCCTAGTGATATAACGCTTTGTCGGTTAAATTAAAGGTCTATCTCTGTAGGGATCCGACTGTACAGACTCACATTATTCCTCCTGGATTCAATAGTTCATAGGTTTATTAATCTCACTGAGATTTATTGTTTAATGTTCGTGTTAATGTCACTGATCCGATTGTGTCTGAGAGTTAAAACTGTAAACGGAGCTCAGCGAGATGACAGACGAACATATTACTCAATCAAACAGGGAAACACTGATATGTAGAAAGACATTGAACTGGTGGAGGAAGTAATCAGCTGTACAGCCGAGTGCTAACACTGTAAAACTTTATTAAACACTCTAAAACAATGTAAAACAGCGTAAAACACTATTACAGTTTTTTCCAATTGCTCAGACAAACAGACAGACAGGACAGGCAGGACAGACAGGCAGGCAGGCAGACAGAACAGCAGACAGACAGGCAGACAGGACAGACAGACAGGCAGAACAGACAAGGCCAGGGCAGACAGACAGGCAGACAGACAGCAGGCAGACAGGTTACCTCTTGGTGTTAGGACGCAGTTTTTCGTTGTTTCCTCTCTCTTGGTTTCTTCAGCGGTCAGAAAAACAGAAAAACAGAAAACTTGATTTTATTTTATTTCGTCTTTAAAAACACCGGGTTCAGTTTCCAGTCGGACTGCAGGAGGAAATTTAAAACATTTATTTATTGACATTTTACTTGGTGCTTTAATTGTTGATCAGCTGCTGGTGGAAGTTTAATGATTCATTAAAGATTTGTATTATATATATATATATTATTAATAACAGCTGGGGAACATAAACGTTGTGGATATAAATATAATATACATACTATATAATTATATCTCTTTCATACTCAGTATGATGATTGTGATTGGTGAACAATGATTTTTTAATGTATCCTAATTAAAATGTTATATAAGATTATGTACAGCGAAGGTGAAGTTACGTTCAGAAAGAGTTGTTTGTTTTCCTCTAACTACAGTTTATGTTAGCCTGTCAGGGGAAAGCTAACACTGACAGCTAACAGAAAAACTAACAGAAGCTAACACTGGAGGAGGCTGTTGTTGGCTTTCCTATCGTCTGTGGCAGCCGATGGAGTGTAAACCACGTATGCTAAAGCAAGGTCAGTGTTGGGGCTGCGGTTCGGGACACCAACGGTTGTCCAAACTTGCTCGCAGCAGCTTTCACGCATCTGTGGTTGGTTAAACTTACAACAGTTTGGGTTTGTAGGTTCAGAAATCTTCTTTTTACTGGTTTTACTTGGTTTCTGTTTTCCAGATTTCAGATTTCAGAAATACTTTAACAATCCCAGGAGGGAAATTATTTAAATCTAAAAAAATTATAAATTTATTATCTTTGTTTTTATTCTTCACTTTGTGCAAGCGTTCACTATTATTATACTAATTATTATTATTATTATAAAAATACAGGTATAATTACAGTTGTTTCTCCAATTGCTAACACACTAAATATATCCTATTGCTATTAGCACAATTAATTAAATGTATCACTCGGAGAGCAAAACCTCTTCTCAAGTCTCTCTATTTTTTAAACTCTACATTTTCTGGCTTTAACACATTTTTAATGCACTGATGGGTTCTCTTTTACATAACACACAAACAATCTTGACATATATAATGTTCTTCCACATGTTCACATATATAATACTAGATTGAGCTAATTGCCGATATATGTGCAACCTGGTCCAAACCACCTCAATGGTTCATTGTTTACTCCTTCGTGATAAAAGCTCTATATTCTGTCACCCTCCAATATGTAAATATATCTTGCTGTTGCTTTATGTTTGCACTTGACTTCGTTTGGTGAAAATAAACAACAGCATGTGTACTCTGTACTTTGTTTCTACAGTTTGAACTTATTTTAGAATTAAAGCATCTAAAGATGAGTGGCAGTTCTTCATTTTATCGCCAACATGTGTGTAGTTGTTAATTCAATCTAAATTCAATTCTAATTTATTCTGTATAGCGCCAATTTCATACAGGAAGTTATCTCCTCTCAGGACACTTTCCAAATAGAAGCAGGTCTAGACCGAACTCCTTTATTCTATGAACCCAACAGTATCCACCAGATGAGATGTTTGAAGAGATTGATTTTTGAGACGAGAGATTAGAGATCCAGAACGGAGAACACAAAAATCTGGTCTTATGAATGATAAAGTGTGCGCTCTCTGTTCAGAAGTTTTGTTTGATTATATGCTATATGTGTTTGGTCTCAGTGTTCTTATTTGTCATTTTATGGAAGGTATTGCAGTTGTTTTGTGAATTTGTGTTAAGTTATTTGATAAAACCAGCCAGTTGCAAAATTGGT